CCCAACCAACCGGAGCCCAGCTGTCCCTTACTAATATGCAGTTAAGGTCGTAGCTTGTGAACCGGGCAGTGACGGCTGCAAGACTGTTTTGTACAGGACCGGCGGTAAGGCCCCACCCGACACCCCACCCCCATGATGGGGGAGTCGCCTTTGGACCTATGGCGATGTGTGGGGGTTTGGTACTCTTTGGGAGAAAAGGACAAACAGCTTGAACCTGGTTTTGGAGCGGTCACGTCCAGTGCTTTCCGTTGGGTGAATCAATACCCAATACAATTGGGGCTACGCGAACTGTCGATGGGTCTCCGGTGTGGGACACTCACGCGGTACCACAGCCTTCTCCACGGGTTCTCCGTCCTGATGCCGGTACCCATACTTTTGTTAAGGCGGGTAGTACAGATCGGGAAGGCCACGTTGAGCGGTCATTTGACCAGCATCAGAGCCTACTAGTGTGCATAGGGCTTTACGGGCAGAACTTAGACCCATCAATTTTATAGAATGGGTTTATTTAGCGTTAGAGCGTCGGCTCACCTTACTAAGTTCTGACCGTCTGAGTGCTCAGCAACGAACCTCGGGCAGATGGGCCAGTCCCTGGCGGCGCAGAGAGTCGCTATGTGCGATACTGTCCATACTGTCCTCTTGGCAGGAGTGGTTTCGGCTGAGCGTGAGGCAGTTCTGGGTCTGTGCGCCTATCCTACTCCAGCGGGATATTAGTTTGATCTCCTGTGGAGAAGGCCTTGGGGGCGTGACCGGCTATTTGGTGGCCGGTTAGTGGATGCAGTATCTGTTTGGCGGTATCTAATTGAAGCAATCTTCCTAGTTGGCCAAGGTAGCTAGTCCTCGGGCTCAGTCTCCCCTCCTCCTCGTCCCTTTCGGGAGGAGGGGGAAGCACTAGCTCTGAAACCCCGTCCGCTCCTTCCCGTGGGATCGCGCCTTATGCAACACATACCAGCTTGGCGCAGGAGGGTTTCCGATCCCTGGACGCTCGAAGTAGTGTCACATGAGTATCAGATTTCTCTATGGTCTCCTCCTCCTCTGACTCCTCACCCTCCCCGATTCAGAGGTGCTCACTGAACTACAGGATCCACATGCGGAACCTGACG